ATTCATTTCCTAGGCTAGACTGACAGGCCTCTATGGCTGGCATGTTGGCTCCTACTGCACGTGTGCGTATCTTCCCTGTTAGTGTTCCATCCTTTTCCCCAGTGATCTGCAGGGAACAGTCCAGTGATTCCCCTGGGAGTGTGTGAAGTTGTAACTTACTGGTGAAGCAAACGGGCGTATGCTCCCTAGTTGATTATGCTTAATAATGTCTGATTTCCTTTGCGCTCTTCCTTTATTAATATCTGGCTACCTATGCTAACACATATCCCCCCAAGACTCTTAGGCCTTGTAATCTTACACGGGTAAATGGATGAAGGCCTCATCTTTTGTACTTTCTTCTTGCTGTCAAGGGATGTAGTCCTGCCTTATCCTCAGGCCCAGAGATTCTTCCTACCTGCCAGAGAAAGAGAGGAGCAAAAGGAAGGGGAATCTTCACATGAGGGCGGGGGGCTTTGCAAAATCCAGGTCAGTCTGATGCTGTCCTAGGGAGGAGTCATATGCTATCTCTGGAGGATGGCACTCCTGGACAAGTTGGCATCCTTGTTGTATTCTAAAGGTGACACATTTGAGAAAAACTAGCTACCTACGCTAACACCATTGTTCAAAGGATAAAAATTTAAATGTGAATATGACCAGTAGAGCCATCTATGACCTGGCCCTTTCCTGACTCTCACCTCATTTTCTACCATTCTCCTCTTCACTCATAGAGTTCCAGCCCAATTGCCTATCCTTGAAATAGAAATGTTCAGATTTCTTCTTGCTTTAGGTTCTTAAACATACTGTTCTCTCAGTCCGTAAAGTTCTCATTGATTTTGTAACCTGTACATTTCTAATTTCTGTTTAATAGCCTTTAAGGCAATTAAGGACAAAGACCTTGCTTTTCTCATCTTAATTCATATTAACTCATTAATTCATATTAGCATAATGCCATGTACTCTAGATGTTCAATTTTATATGCTGAATGAATGACTAACTGATGGAATGAATGACCTTCTACCACCACTGGCACATACTATTTTCTACTTGATCATTGCAAGAGTTGTTTTCTGGTTCCACTTGTCTTGTTTTCCCTCACAATCTACCTTCCATACTGCTACTATCATGACCTCTCCAACAATAAATGAACCTGATGTCACCACCCTCTACAGAATTGTTCAGTGGCCTTCCATTAATCAAAGGTTAAAAGTCTTTAGCTTGCTGTACAAAGGCCTCTCATGGTTTGCTGCCTCTGTAGCCTCCTTTTCCCCGTTGTTATTCAGCTGCCTTACCTTCAGTAGTATAGAATGACAAAGCAAAAGAACATGAGAAAAAATAAAATAAAACAAAACATCTAAAAGTATTCAGAGGCCCGTGCAGCTAATTTCTTGGTTGGTATACGGAACTCTGAAGGCCCCCCTCCCCGCTTTTTTGTCTTGATGTAATTAATGTATAGAGCAAGGTACTGAAAGAGGTCAGAAAAACTGGATGGATTAATATTAGAAGGAGCAGAAAGGTGAACTCCAATCAAGCTGGTTCCGGAAGTTCACTTTTTAAATCCCTCTGTACCAAATATATAGCTATGATGGATAAAATACACAAATAGAAAACCAAAGAGGCATAACCAGACCCAGGAAAGATAGATATCTCTGTGGACAGGTAATGGAATAGAAATGCAATCATTTGGGCTGAAACCATTAGCTGCTTTCCAGAAGCAGGCTTTGGCTCCTATGAGCAGAGAGGACTTAAAATATATCATGAATAAAGCTTAAAGCCAGGATCTAGGCTATGGCTTCCTTAGTTCCTGGAAGGACATTGAAAGGATATGAGTACATTGTTACTTGGTTAAAATGGAGGTTGTATTATTAAAGGGGAAAAGGAAAATGGATATTAACTATGTGACTGGCAATGTTTATCGTAACAGAAAATAATGAAAATAAGTGAGTTGTGGCCCTTGCCCGGTGGCTTGGTTGGTTGGAGCATTTTCCTGTATACCAAAAAGGTTGTGGGTTCTATTCCCGGTCAGGGCACATACCTAGATTCTGGCTTTGATCCCATACAGGAGACTTGGGGTGCATACAAGAGACAACTGGTCAGTGTTTCTCTCTCTCACAATGATCTCTCTCTCTCTCCTTCCCTCTCTCAAATCTCTCTCTCTCTCTCTCTCTCTCAAAACTCACAAAAAAGCATATCCTTGAGTGAAAATAAAAAATAAATAAATGAGTTGTTTTTAACCTAATTAAAACAAAGAAAAAGAGAGATTAGGGATGAAACCTAAAGAAAGTGGAAAAAATACCAGCAAAAATTAGTGAAATAGAAAGCAATGAAATAATAAGGTCAAAACCAACATGTGTTTTTTTAAAAAAAATCTGGTAAAGTATATATTTCTAGCAAAACTGATCAAGAAAGGCATGAAAAATAATATTAGATAAGGCACAAATAAACAATATTTAAAGTGATTATAGGAACTGATACAATTGAGTTTTTAAAATCATAGGGTAAATAATTTCACATCAATAAATATAAAAACTTGGATGAAATAGATATTTTAAAATTAGAAGTTGTCAGAAGTGACTCAGAAGAAAGAAAATTAAATAGTAAGTAACTATTATAAATAATGAATTTATAATAAAAATATACCTTCACCCGACTCCTCCTCACACCTCAACTTCATCCCCTGCCTTCCGACTCCAGAAGGGGAATGTAGGAATGTCCTGAGACAAGCTGCAAGAATCATTTAACTGTTTTCAAAGAACTGGGGAGAGAAAGTTACTTAACCCAGTTTTTGAGGCTTGTATTATATTGCCACTGAGACCCAACAAGCATAGTATATGAAAAGAAAATTACAGTCCAATCTCACCTGTGGACACAAATGTAAAAAAAAACTTGATTAGCAAATTTAGTTCAGGGTCTGTGTATTGATTGGCCTATTTATCTACCAACCTATCGATCAAGTCACATCTATCCATCCTTCCATCCTTCCATTCATTCTTCAGTCTATCCAGAGTTTACCCCGAGAATGCAAGCGTTCGAGGCCAGAAAATATACATTTCAGGTGACATTGATATGGTTATGCAATAGATTAAAGAACATTTGATAAGGTCAGGATTATGGTGATATTTGGGATGTGAGGAAGGGGTAGTGAAGACACAATCCACAGTAGACTTTAGTTATATTCACATTAGTTCATTACATTTTAGTAAAATAAGATTGTGTGCAGATTATACTACGTTGTTTGTGTACATGTATATCATGATATCCTTTATTCTCTATGTAATTTAATGGATGCTGGTAATATCACATAATAAATACCAAACAAAAAAATAAAAGGTCGAGGCTAGGTTAGGACTGAGCAAAGGACTAAGCAAAGGCCCTCTACTGGGGATTGAGCCTGCAACCCAGGCATGTACCCTGATCAGAAATCTAACTGTGACTTGGTTCATGGGTGGAATTGGTTCAACCACTAAGCCACACTGGCCGGGCTATCCTTTGAGTCTTAAATTCATCATTTCTTCCTTTGTGAACAGGCTCGTCTTGTTTATATGCACTAGTGAGCTCTTGAGAACCTGGACTATTTATTTTTATGTCTCCAATTTCCTGGCCCAAAGTAGATGCTCAATAAATATTTGTTAAATTAGTGGGAAAATTTATAAATGAATTAATGAGCAATCTTTTGTAAAAAGAGAGTCATTGAGATAAAATTTATATTTCATAAAATCTATCCTTTTAAAACATAAAATTCAGTGATTCTTAGTATATTTGGAGTTGTGCAGATATAAGCATAATATAATTTTATAACTTTTTATCACCTCAAAAACCTAGCACTCATTAGCTATCCTTAACCATTTCACTCCTGTCCCACCTCTAGGCAATCACTCATGTACTTACTGTCTTTATAGATTTACCTATTCTGGACATTTTATGCAAATGGAATCATACAATTTGTGATTCTTTGTAAGGACCTTTTCCTTAGCATAATGTTTTCAAGGTCATCCACATTGCAGTGTGTATCAGTACTTGATTACTTTTTATTACTGAATAATATTTTATTGGATGGATATACCACATTTTGTTTATCTATTTATTAATTGATGGACATTTGAGTTTTTTCTACTTCTTGGCTATTATGAATAATACTGCTGTGAATATTCATGTCCAAGTTTTTGTGTGCACATTTGTTTTCATTTCTTTTGAGTAGATAGATACCCAGGAGTGGAATTGTGGGGCCATATGGGAACTATTTTTATCTTTTTGAGAAACTGCCAGACTATTTTCCAAAGTAGTGGTACCATTTACATTCCCACCAGCATTGCATAAGGGTTTCAATTTCTGTACATCCTCAACAACATATGTTGTTTACTGCCTGTTTTTTTTTTTATTACAGCCATCTCAGTTGATATGAAGTGGTATCTCACTGAGTTTTTTATTTACATTTTTCTAATGACCAGCAATATTGAGCATCTTTTAATATGTTTATTGGCCATTCATATGTCTTTGAAGAATTAGCTATTCAAATTTTTGCCGATTTTAAGAGTAGAATTTTCTTATTATTGAGTTGTAACATCTATTCTGGATAAAATCCCTTATTAGATTATGATTGACAATATTTTCTCTCAGTCTATGTGTTGTCTTTACTTTCTTGATACTGTATTTAAAGTGCAAACATGTTTAATATTGATGAAATCCAATTAAAAATATTTCAAAATTACTTTTGCTTTTGGTATCATATCTAAGAAATCATTGACTAACTGAGGATCATGAAGATATGCATCTATATTTTCTTCTGCAAGTTCTTTAGTTTTAGCTCTAATATATAGGGCTATGATCCATTCTGAGTTGACTTTTTGCAAGGTGAGAGGTAGAAGTCCAAATTCATTCCTTTGTATGTGGATAACCAGTTGTCCCAGTACCATTTTTTTAAAAAGACTGTTCTTTACTGAATGAGCAATCTTGAATGTTTCTATAATCATGTCTTTTTTGTATTGATATTCGTTTAATTTATATTCTTATGTTTTGATTTTCAGGTTGCTTACCAAGTGTCCCACAAGTGAAAAAAATTTCCACATCTTATGAGGAAAGACGGAAACAAGCTACTGCTATTGTTTTACTAGGAGTCATAGGAGCTGAATTTGGTGCTGAAATTGAACCTCCTAAACTGTTGACCAGACCTCGAAGCTCTAGTCAGATTCCTGAGGGATTTGGTTTGACTACTGGTGGATCCAACTACTCACTGGCCAGACATACTTGTAAGTTTTGAAATTCCTAATGCTGATGTATCGCTTCTCAATACATATTATTTGTTAACAAAATCTAAGAATATTGAATATATCCCCAGTTTCAACTCACATAGGAGGCTCAGATCAATTTAGGAAGCAGGACAATCTGTTTGGCACATTACCCTGTGTCATAGTTGCCCAGACTTCTTTTCAAAAGTTCAAATGTGGTTTTTAAATGCTTTTCTTAACACATTTCTGAGATTTGAGTTTTCACAATTTGGTCAAAATTTTAGCCAAAATTTATGAAAGCTAGCTTTAAATTAAAACTTTTAACTTATAAATTCATTTCTCAAAAACTACCCGACATGTCCTGAACGTGATTTGAAAAGTTAGGGGTGGAGGTGGAACACCAATTAATTACAATCAGCGCTCAAAGGGCTTGTGTCATATTGGTCTAGTTCTGTAGTTGGTATGTTAATAACAGGTAAGGGTATTTTATAATGATGTCTGTTGTTACCTTAATGTTGGAACTTCTTTACATAGGTCAAAATGTTCCTGCCATATTGCAAAATCACTTCTAATGTTGTCATGTTAAGGACCAAATATCCCACTGAATACATCACAGCCTTTTTTTGTAGAACAAATTGCAACATGTTCTTTAGGTGTTTTTTGTTTTTTTTGGTTTTTTTTTTACTTTTAAGCAAAGGAGAAAGATATATGTTAATTTGGGAGTTACGATGGCCGAGAGCATCATTGGATCATTATCCTGTACTTTTGCCGTGAAGTCAAGGGACTGTATTGGAGGTTTTTATTACTGAAGCCCTATTATAACTTAGCTGTTGTGCCCCTTCTCTGCCTTTGGTTCAGAATGCAGCAAATATTTATTAGTGTTTGTAATCTTTTTATCTCTACTTGATAATGAGAATCAGAGAGTAATAATAACAAGACCACCACCAACAATAATAAAGCTACTAATTGTTTTGAGCACAATTTTAAGCTTTTTCTATGCATTAACTCAGTGCTCATAGTCACCTTTTCTTTTCTTTTCTTCTAAAAATATTTTTATTGATTTCAGAGAGGAAGAGAGAGAGATATAGAAACATAGAAACATCAATGATGAGAGATAATCATTGATTGACTGCCTCCTACACTCCCCCTAATGGGGATCGAGCCGACAACCTGATGGGGAATCAAACTGTGACCTCCTAGTTCATCGGTTGACACCAAGCCACACCGATTGGGCCATAGTCACCTTTTAAAGTGGTATCTGCATTTAACACATTAGGCTAGGGGGCACAGAAAGGTTTAGTCAGCCTGGCCGAGTTCATACCTCTAGGAAATGGCCTTTTGAGGCTCAGCACCATCTGTTGGTTCCAAAGCTCATGCTTTTGACCAGTATACAAACTGCTGCTGTTCAGTGGTTGCTAGTTGAAAGGGCTTAATGACTAACCTGTGCTATCACTTTATAACTTGAAAAGTACTTTTTTTTGGGGGGGGGAGGGAGGGAGGTTGCCTTTAAATTTCATCCATTACCCTACTTTTTCATCAAAGATCTTAGGTTCCTTGGCATTAAATTTGCCTACCACAGTTTATAATTACCAGCTTAAATCTTGCTCTCCTTGTTAGAAACAGTTAGCTATCTAAATATGCTGTGTCTTATTTAGGCTCTTTTCAATCAGTTATGTGTTAAATTAACCAGTTATAATGTTAACCTGCTTGAAGTTGCCGTATGTATTGCCATGTTATTGGTTTACATGGCATTTAGGATGTATTGGTACCATTAAAAATTTAGCCTTTATGGCATCCCATTGAATGAGATAATAATTATTATCCTCATTTTGAGATAAGGCCATTAAGATACAATATTTGATGAACTTTAATTGCTAATGTAGTTAGAGGTATAGAGGTGAAGTCTAAACTTCCTCATAAAGCCGTTCTGTGAAAACTCTTTATGTCCCAATTATCACATTGATGGGAGGGAAGAGTGATACTGATACTTAATTCAAAAGTCATGTTTAGCCCTGGCCGGTGTGGCTCGGTTGGTTGAGTGTCGTCCCATGCACCAGAAGGTGGCCAGTTGAATTCCTGGTCAGGGCACATACCCAGGTTGTGGGCTTGGTCCCCAGTAGGGGGCATGCAGGAGGCAGCCGATTAATGTTTCTCTCTCTCCCTTTCTCTCTAAAGTTAATACAAACATTTTAAAAATTAAAAAAAAAACTTTAAAAACGGCATATTTAATTTAGTTTTATAATACATTTTATACTTAGATTTGAATACATATGAATCTTTTGTGAGTATTACACTTTACATGAAATATCAAAATCACAGATTGAAGACAAAGCTGAAGGACTCTGTGATTGAGAGGCCTAGACTTGCCCACTCTATTACCTGTACCCTTGGTAAGTGAAGTGTCCCTCTGGGTCACAGTTTCCTCTTACATAAAATAAAAGACCGGAACTATTCTCTTTTTATAGCCCTTTTTGTCCAATTAGTCTCTGCTTCTGAAGAGAAATAGAAAGCATCTCAGGAAATTCACCTTCTTCTTAACCTTCCCATTTTCTTCTCATTGTACCGATGGATGCTTCACATCAGCCCAACTTTAGTCGAGATTCTTCATTTGTATTTGGACCCACAGAATAAAGCATGTTAGACTATTTTACAGTATTATTTATAATATTACCTTGTAGGACTTTTGGTTCTTTCATTTGGTCTCTTCTGCTCAGTTTATAATTGTGGAATTATGCTGGCACGTCTGTAGTAAATTCCATTTTGATCTCTCATTAGCTTTCTTACTTTGGGCAAGTGTCATAAGTCATTTCCCTAGGCAGCAGACTCTGAGGCAGATTTGTATGCAGACCTGTTCTGGGATCAATACCTTTAGGAGAGTGAAAGAAGCAGGATTGGGCAGGGGAGAAGTTGAATTGCATTTCAATTGCCTAGAAAGCCTCAGCCCATCTCAGGGAACTCTGGAGCTGGGATGGCCCTTCAGACTTGTCCTGAACTAGGACTGAGGGCTTGGCCTTTAATCCTTGTGTCAGTCAGTCACTGGAATCAAGTCATTGGTGCCCTGAGCAGAGAGGGGGGAGGAGGGGAAAACTTGAGTGAGGCAGCTCGCTTCCATTTAAGGCAAACCCCACAGAGGGACTGGGCTGAGGTGTATTAGCCACTAACACACCATGAGCTTGGGAAGTGAGTGCTTCGGTTGTGGAGGGGAGGAGATGGGCAACCTCTCCAGGTCCCACCCAGCATGTAACTCAGGGGTGTGGAACCTTCTTTCTGTCAAGGGCTGTTGGGATATTGATAACATCATTTGTGGGCCGTACAGAATTATCAACTTAAATATTAGCCGGCTGTATTTGGTCAAACATTTAACTCACCCCTAATGCCTTGGCAGAGCTAGACCAAATGATTCTGAGGGCCTTATGCGGGGTATTCCCCAACCCTGATGTAATTATTTATCTGTGACCCAGTTCCCTTTCTATCAACAGAAATGGAGAGCAGGGCTGCTATTTATTTAACACACTTTTTATTCCAGCTTTATACAGAGCTCCTATTTCCCTGCAAGACAGATATTTCATCCAGCACCTAGCACAACACAAGACACATTAACAATAGTTACTGAGCATTTACGCTGTGGCAGGCATTTTGTGATCTTCTAATCCTATCAAATAAGTCCTAATATTATTCCCATTTTTCAGACGAAGAAACTGAGGCTTTGGATTAAACTTTCTTCCTGCAGACAATAAATTGAGGGCACAGGTTAAATGTTTTAAGGTCATTCTGCTAAAAAGTATCAAGCCTGGACTTGAACACCTATCTCCCAACTCCAAATCAGCGTATTTTCACCATTTCAAATAGTTTTCTTGTGTTACAAACAAGAAAGATTCAGAAGTGGCGCTGAAAAAAGGAGGATCAAGGCAGCAGGTACCAGGCCACCTTTAAATCTGAACATTTATTGAATCGTTCTTTAGGGATGTGCTGGTGCCATGGAGATATAAATGTGTGCAAAATCCACACTGCTGTAATTGTGAACTGGCTTGTATCTGTGGTGTGAAATATTTCGATTAGAAAAAAAAATCACTTTTCCCTACAGTGGGGCTTTAGAAATATCATAATATTAGAGTTCATCAGCTAGCCAAGGTGTATAACCTCACTGATGTTACATGGAAAATACTGTCTTTATGTGCATTTGTGTTTTTGTTCTGGGAAAAGGATTCACAAATTTCATTCAATTCTCAAAATATAGTTATTGAAATAAAAATGGATAAGAACTCTAAGAGTTTGTTAGAATAAATTGTTATTGTTATGATTTTAAAAACAGTAAGTTATGTTCCTCTTAATTAGTTCAATTATAATACCACCAAATAGAAGCTTCAGTTTGATGTCACTTAAGGAATATTTCAATTATGTGAGAAACTGTATTTAGTTTCCTATGGTGCTATGTTTGACTTCATTTTGTTGTAGTCTGCTATTGTGAAAAATGATTCTCCAAATACTTCCTGTGCTTCCTAACAATGCATGTTTTGTTTAATGAATTTGTTCATATTGGTTGAGGATGATTTTATAATGAGTTAATTTCCTAAGTTTTAAGGTAAGAAAGTTAAACCAAATCTCAATGTTTTAGCAGAAAGATTAGGACAACTAGTGGTAGCAAAACCAGTGGTAGGCACAAGATACAGAAAACGTACCAACAATGATGAGGAAAGCAGCATGCTGCTTGCAAGGATAAGCAATGACAAAGGAGTGTATATTTTCAAAGTTTACAAACAAGTCATCAGATTGTGTTGCTGAGTTGCTGCTGTGGCCACAGAGATTGCATTTCTCATTACTTAGCCTCATTTTTCTAACCTGGCCTTTCCGGCACTGGGATGGAATCCTGCCTTCTTATCTGGCTTCTTACTCCACCATCAACTTCATTCATTCATTTTCATTGCACCAACTCAGCTTTCCATGTTCTTTCCCACCACTTCTCATTTGTAATTTTACCTTTGAAAATCATCTGGTCCAGGTGCCACTTTATTTGCATCGCC